CTTTAAAGTTTTCTTCCAAAATCATGTTTTACAATGTGACCTTGGTAGTGTAAAGTGCTGTTATGCCTGACCGCATATTCTCACTGAAATCTTTAGCATGTTTCAGGCCATATGTTTTCATAAAGAACAAATAAATGAAGACCATCAGGAATTAGGATGTGCAACAAAAACGAGTGAGTCTACGTGCTGTGACTTTTAGGAAATTATAATATTTTGAAGTCTTCTATCTGTTTTGTTTTCCAATAAAAAAGTCATGATCACATGTAAATGACAACAATTTAAACAACTAAACAACCTTGAGAATTGCTTTGTTGAAACAATGATGTTAGTATCACACGTAAAGGAGTATCACCTACATGTACATGTATCAACACGTTTACTTGCTCTATTATGGGCAGAAGAAATTACATTTAACAAGTCCGGATTCCTATAAACCCAGTACCCGGTATGTACAGTTTGTATACTGTATTTATTTTTATGCACATGCACATGTATTACTCTCACAAAACAAGTACTGATAGTACATGTACTTGTTACTCAAAACATTTAAAGAATTAAAAAAAAAAAAAAAAAATACTTTGCATTTTGCAACTCTGCATGAAGCAACTGTACGATAAAAAAGAAAACAAAACCACTGTGAATGTGTTTCCTATGTCTGATTTGTTTCCCTAGGCAGTCTTTCTTGCTGTTTCCCTCTTGAGGACCTATACCTTTTACGGTGGACTCATCATTATACAGTTGGCCACCACATGGGGGATGGTGGCTTAAGTCCATCTTCTAGCTTTCTGCGGGCATCCCCCATGAGTAAGCCAGCCAGAGCTTGAGTAATGGAGCACTGTGACTTCACAGACCTGTGTGAGTGCCACTGTCTAGCGTCCTATATAGATTGTCTACAGGCCACACTGGTACAGTTTCTGGACAGAAATGAGGCTAGGTAATTGCTGGCACCGATTCCCACTCATGAGGATGATTTGGGGCAACTGCTCTGGATTTGGAAAGGGAGGGGGAGAGGGAAGGAGACTGTTGCTGAATAAAGGCCACTGACCAAGATGACATGCACATCCAGACTGTCCCAGTTGTCCTGTGTAGTGCTGTATAGATAGACACTGATAAATTTCAATACATAAACCTACCTGTATTTATTAAAGAGTGCATTCTTTACATGAGGTGTCTAATACTCCTTCCTCCAAACCAATTCATAAATGCCTGGTTCATACCCGGTACTTCATCGAAATGTGATTGTGAGGCAAATTTGACATCAAATATCTACGCCCATTAAAATAAATTCACAGTGCCGGACGTACATTTTGGACAATTCAACAGTCTGCATAATTATAATTTTCATAAAGTGGATTTTACTTCTGATAAAATGTATCAGTTGGTTACTTCAATGATTTAAACAAAAATGAATCTTCAACTTATTGGCTGTAGTAGAAATCACCTCGAAACACCATGGTGTCGGACGTTCTCAGACATACTTTTTTTGTAGTATACCCATTTTCAGTTGCAAGTATCAGCTGAATTTTTGAACATTGCTACAAATACAATATCTTTCAATAAAATACCACACTAATGGGCCCAAAAGTGTGACATTTGAGAAGACCTTTTGAGTTTTGATAATAAAACTAGGATCTTGGTCTCTCAATTTTTGCTGTAAACATTGCAAGCTTTGAACAAATATCCTCACCAGCAAAGGATATAACTGGCTGGTATTTTAGAAAATACGGTGAATATTGTATTTAAAAGTGTTACGTACATAACGAAGGACAGACGTTTTAGATAAAAGTCACAAAGTAGGCCTACCGTAAGCATTACATTTAATGATCCCCTAATGTTGTCTGATTTACCCTGGAGGAATGCCATCAGTCAAAACCTAGAAAACTCAGAGTCAATGTGAAGAATTATTTCAAATTTTATAATCAGGATTTATACATGTTCGTATGAACAGACTGGACATTTGTCACAAAATGTCTGTCCCTGTTCGTACATAGCCCTAAGTATAACTTTGAAGCCAGTGCAAAAACTGTTGCATTTTCGCTTGATAATAATGTAAATGGGTTGATACTGTCAAATGAAAGTGCCTATTAGAAACCCTTTTCCTTGCAGTGTGTCTGTCCATGCTACGTACGTATAACACAGAAAAAGATCTGTTATTTTCTCAAATATAAAAGATATCATCTCTTGTATTTTCTTGTTGTAGTCGATTTCAACTTAGCAAGGTATAGGAAAAAACTAAAGAAACACTAGCTCATCTTTTACCCTTTATATATGCAACATCCATAAACTTACATGTATCTAATTGGCCCATTAGCATGGAATTGCCCATATTTCATTTGTGGCAGCTGGACCATTTTGAAATGTTGGCATTGAGGTTTATAATTCTAGGGAATTGCCATTGAGTTATGTGTTATCAATTTGAGTGACTTTGTTGAGTGAGTATTGGTAGTGACAGAACATGCAAAGTCATAATTCACATGACAGATGTACATGTACGGTACCGGTACTCTTTCTCTGACGTCCTTTATTGACAGATACAAATCTTTAGTTTGCACTGAATGAATACAAGTTAGGAATTGTGCCTAATTGACGCCTAGCTTGCTACATGTCTTTGGCTTTCTGTTAACCAAATTTTGCATAAGTTGTGTTTATTTTAACAAAAGTGTTAATGTCTGCAAGGCAAATTTATTCAAGTCATGTCAAGTAGCTATTCATTTCTTTTAAAAGTCAAGTCAAGTCTCAAGTAAAACAAAATTAGAAATTTGAGTTGGACTCGAGTCCGAGTCAGTGACTCGAGTCAACAACACTGACAAATACTGATTCTACTATATGTACACATGGGGGATGTCTCTATAGTCCGAAGTACCATTGGTCCAACATCCCATTGGGCCGACGTCCCATTGGTCCGAAGTCCCATTGGTCCGATGGCCAATTGCTCTATACGTTCCATTGGTATAAATGTCCAATTGGTCCGAAGTCCCATTGGTCCGAAGTCCCATTGGTTAGACGCCCCATAGGATTAGGGTCAGGGTTAGGGGTAGGGGTAGGGGTAGGGTCAGTCAACCTGAACCAGTGGTTACACAGTATTATGTTTCATCGGACCAATGGTACTTCGGACTATTGAGAGGTAACCGTACACGTGTATGAAACAAGGTTGTAATTATACTAACAACCTTAACAGATGACAGCTACAAAACATATATCATTCAATACCAGAATTTGTTGTCAGACACACCTATAGACCAAATTTCAACTAGACCATTGCAAATGATCAACAAAGGCCAAGTCAAGTTACATACATATACAGGTATGTACCATTTACATGTAATTTGGTACGGAAATCAACTCTGCCTCTGGAACATTGTAGTAAGGCCAAAAAAGATTCTGCTTCCAATTACTGGTAGAGGGCCATTCAGAATAGTCAATGTCGTCAACAACTCCTTATATGGAGATTGGCGCACCTCGCCCGTACTGCGCGATGTGGCGCTGAATTCAGCTGTGCCGGTGCGTTGTGAATTTAGGACTATGAAATACTGACTTACTGGCAGTATTACGCACACCTACCGGTACATGAGGATTGTGAACGTTTGACCAATAAAATGGTAAAAGTCATTGGACTTCATAGGAGTTCAAATTTCATATGACAATGGAAAAGTGCTTAAGACCAGCCAGCCGATCTTTATCAACCGTTTAAAACCGACCATGTGACTGTCTCTCAACCAATAGGAATGGGTAAACTGTCTTAGGTATTTATGAATGATCATTAAAAAGGTCAAACAATTATTTTCTTTGATCATTCATTTTTAAGCAGAGACCTGTATATGTACATGTATGTATTTCTTCGATTTTATTTCACTTCACTAAAAGGAAAAAAAAAACGTCTGCAGTTTCCTATTACAACCAAAATATAGTACGGTAGCTGCCAGCTTTACCACAAGTGATCTTGCTCCAAAGTCCTACACCAATTGTCCGGATTTCAAGTAAATAAGACGGCAATATTGTATTTCCACTGACTCTTATCGGTTTGATATCTAAACCTGAAAGGGTCACATCACGTTATCTGGTCAGACATTTCTTCTGTTTGCAAAGGTTTGTGTGCTCTTTGATTGGGTACACATGTTTTGTGTAGACAGTGTTTACTGTAACTACCGACTTCAATGTGAACTGATTTTAATAAACTGAGTGAGTAAATTATAAAAGTTTTATAGCTTTGCGTACTGTCACACTGTCTTTATTATGTAGTGCCTGGGCCTTCATGTAAAAACATTCAATAACAGACAATAAATGTAAGGAATAAAGTAACTCTTTTATTGAGTTAAAGAGTACGACACTACTACTAGTGCTATAGTCTGAGTCCTCGTGTCCAAGTTCTAGTATTCAAATCCGGGTCAGAGTGACAGAGTCCTAACATGTTTGACAGATTTTATCAAAAATGGACTAATTGTAAAGAGTAAAGTATGGTACTGTCACATTCTCTGCCATGATGTCCATCCAGTGCCAAACTTAGTATCTACATTGTACATGTTCACAACTCTTTTAATTTTTTTTTTAAATTTAGATTCACCTGAAAATGGTACTGAATTCTTGAACTTCATAATGGGCATATTTTAAGCACATTGTTCTCAAAATAACTGTATATAAAGTGAACTTAATTCAAACTAGTAATATTAGTTCAAAGTCAAAGCATTTGGTATGACACAATGGTTCTGAATGATGGTTTTCTCAATTGGCCACCATTGGTTTGAGTTTGCGTCAAGTTAAAATCTGATTGAGTGTGTCAATTACAGAATTTGCCTCATAGTGTTATTTTCACTAAGTTTATTACTGACTGTATCATGACAATCAATAGAATGTGTTTTTGGAAAATTTGGTGAACTCAAAATGTTTGATTTTATGATTTTTTTTGCCTTAAAAAGGAGTTTGAAAAATTCCGCCAGATCCCCCACAGAATAATCCATAAATAAAAAAAGACTCTGAGGTCAAACAGTCCAATGTCTACTCACCTATTTCTACACGCTTGTGTGATTTTGGCCATCTTGGTTGTCGATTCCGCTCAGCATCTAAACATCTCTCACTACAGGGTCTGGGCACTTTGGCCTCTATTCTAGAGTCCATTTGAATCATGGCGCTACCCTTCTTGGGTGAATCAACAGCTGGGGGCCGAGGCACGGCCATTTCTGTTGATGAGGAAAGCAGCGAGTACTGTTGTCTCGCTCTGACTACTGGGAGTTCGTCTTCTTGTTGCTGTTGAGACAGAATTGAGTCAGTGGTTGGTCTGATGACCGGCTGGCTACAGCTGACTTCCGGTACACTTTTGGTGCTCCATGTTGACGGTGTAGGCCTATGTACTATGGCTTTATTATCCAAAGACATGAGCCCGTTGTCCCTTTGGTATTGTCTGGGTGGGGTGAAACAACGCTCCCTTGGGAACCTGTCACTTTTCTCCCTGTGGTCCTCAGTGCTTGACAGCTGCCGGGCCTTCTTCCCAGGAGAGGGTTCGTGCACTTCTGCACTTTGGCGCTTGGACATCCTATCGCCTCAGTGCCGTGGGGCCCTGCTGATGAAAAACAAGAAAAAGAAACCCCGTTTGTGAAATGCCTGGGCTGAAACACTATCCAGCCTTCTTACTGAGATTGACGTGCATCCAAACACTTACCAAGGAAACTTAATCCTTGGGGCATATGGAACCCAATTAATACACAGGTCACCCATGCAGTCTTAATATCTGGGTTGGAACTTTTCAGTTTCACCCTACATTCAATAACGAGAACAACAACACAACAGGGAACCTAAATCTCTCATTCAATAGCACACAATCAAACCAACCCCTACATACTTACGTACACGTCCAGTCTAAATGACACTCCGTGGGTCATGCACTAAATCCCTACATTTTTCGGTTGGCTGCTATACAGAAATCCATATCTCTCATCACTGTTGGAGTTGATTGGGAGGCTTTCTGCTGATACAGAGAACCAGCAATTGCCCCTCCATCCCCTGCAGTCCTGCCTTCTCCTTGTATTACCTATGGGATCTATTAGTCTTAATATGCTTTCCCTCCCCGTAGCATCATGTAGATTACTGTACCACTCTATACCTGATGCCACTCCAACTTTTCCACCTCTCCTGGTTGCTTTAAATTGAAATTCTATAGATCCAACTTTCATAATCTGACGATGGACGAAGACTTACCAAAGTTAAAGAACGGCCCCAAATGGCAACCTGTCTGTCTGGATGGTTCACAAGCTTCACCTCTTCTTAACGCTTGCTTTCCACACAAACAAGTACTAATCACAGAGACACTAGATTCTGACCCATTTCAGAGTAAGACAAATAGGGGAGACTGTAACTCTATGTTGGCTCAGAATGGCTGGCCTGTGTTTACAGCAGTTAGCCCCAAAGGCTTTGGTGACTTGGTCAAAACCATCTGCCTGTGCTATCCCCCTAAAACTCTTCCTTCGACACAGCAGCACGTGCTCAACACAAATGCAGAGGGTAAAAAAATCAACACAGCAACCGTAGTCCAAGGAAAAGAACTGCACAAAAGGCACATTACAACCCACTTATGCAAATGGTTTCAAAATATCCACGACCAATCAATAACTGTCAGACTGGACGATGAAATTAACATAGCCAGAGCCTACATGTATACATACACAGGCTTTCTTTCAGCATGCATAAAAGCGTGATTAAATCAAGATCAAGGCCTCTCGCATATTTATAGTGCACAATTAAATACAAAGTCGGTCAACCCTACTACATCTAGGTCCGAGTTGTTATATTCAGCAGTAGCCTAAAAACACAACGGCTACATGTATATGTACATGTGCTGTGCTATTTATCAACAAGCACCTGATCTGAATGGAACAACCTTTCTGAAGTGATTCTACATGGGATGCTCCATTGGGTGTAATGGGGGTGGTTGATGTTTACTGGTTATGTGCTGGCTGTCAATCATCCAAGTGGTGATGTTGTATGCTGTATTGTGGGAGGTAACAACCTTCCCCTTGACGTAATTCAATTTGTTCACAAGTGCCATGTAGTCACGTGTGGACCATTTCAGAACCACAGTCAAAGTGTCTACTACCTGTGTATTGGATGCATGGTACAGACAAATCATACATGTACATGGACACAGGCAATTTATTTTATAGAAATAAAACATATTTTCTAACTCTCTACAATCAAACACGTGAAGTATTTCATGTAGACAATACAGAGGAAGTTGGACACAACCAATTTAAAGTGAAACAACACAACTGTTTGTGAGGGAGACTGTCTGGTCTTTGATACATGTACAGTACAATTAGGTGTCAGATCTAGCCAAAGAATGTATCAAGTCACACAAAAATAGCACGTATGATACATGATACAACAGATTCTAACAATCATACACTCAAGCAGATTTCAACAATGCCACACATTTCATTCTACAGCATCACTCATCAATGCAAAATATGTACACAGGTTCCAAACAACAAGGGGTGGCCAAGAGATTGTGGGAGGCTTAATCCAGCACCCCTACAACCTTCATAGAGAACACTGTGTTATCACACAAACAGACCAGAGAGAATGCTAGCCTTCATTTGGATGGTGAAATCATCACCGTATTAAGTTCTCTAGCTGTGTCACACTGCCGCCACACAACGCTCCCGGGAACTCCTTAGCTGCCACACTTCACTCACCACACGCAGCCTATTAAGTATAGGATTTCATGTTTTGGAGTGGTCATTAATTCTGCAGGGCAACACCTTGACCTAGGGTGTGCAAGTGCCCTACATTACCATGTGTGCATTTGTTTCTCCTCAGAGACAGGGGGAAAATGACTCAATAAATCATGTGATATGAAAAAATGACTTCAACTTGATGAATGTGCATTTGGTTTGACCTTACAGCAGGTAATGCAAGACCTTTCAGTTTACCAGTCTCCAGATACAAGTATTTTTGGTTATACCCGTATTTTGTCCCATGGTGTATTGTGCTAACAACAAAAGGAAGAAAGTTAACATATAATGTACATGTACATGTACATCTAGAAAATTAAAAGTTAATGTAGATCAGTGCTCACCAGATTAGCTGTTGTACCCGAGCTAATCCGGTGAGCACCGATCTACATTAACTTTTAATTTTCTATGCTCTATACACAGTTCTACGCAGCATTCCTACATTTCGTTCTACATGTACATCTATAAAATGTACAGTATAAAAATGAATTGAGTATACATTGTTTCAAGAGAAAAACTATGACATTTAAGACAATGGATGTACCAGTACCATAATATGTAGTGATACTCAAAAACTGACTTGTGTATGAACTACGTTGAAAGTAGTCCTTGTCAACAACTGGCATGTAGCGTTTCAGAAAACAAAACAATATTGATGACTTACATGTAAGGTGATTTAATTTTGTCCTTTCAATTAGATTTGTTTAAGAATCATTTAATAATTTAGATTTAATGCATAACATCACATCATATATTTGGATATGACACTGTTCCACAGACCTACATATGATGCAACCCCCAAAACAAAATAACGATTATTGTTTTCAAACTTTTCCAAAATGAAGAACCATACTGCTAAAACAGCGCCCTCTTGTGATACAGAATTTCAGAATGATTGAAAAAGCATTTGACTGCCTTCACTAATCCTTCCATTGATTGCATTGGTATAAACTACATACACTGTACATACATACATGTACATTGTGATGATTGTGTAAGCAATGAACAAAACTTGCAGATGACACATTCTCATCAACAAACCTCATACCTACCGGTATTATTGTAGTCTGCTTCCAGTGTCTGAGACTAGACCAATAGTCTGATGACAGGTTCACTGGAAAATGATATTAGGAATCCCAATGACCAAAATAAATATTTATGAGTAATATACATGTATTTCCCTGGCAATATAAGTTGACTGATAAAACTGGGGCAACTAAAAAGAAACACAATTATCATGTGCAAGTCATATTTGTCAATTTCTGTCGTTATTATATCATGTTTTTATGTAATCCAGGGCCCCTAGGGAGAACGGTTCATTGACAACTGATGGGACTACCCTGGTAAAATAACACAAAATAAATGAATAAATAAATAAATAAAATATTTGTTCACTTTTGAAAGCACATGTATAGGATCATTTGCTTTTCATGGATTTTGTTCATGTCCAATACTAACACCGCTCAAAATTCAAAGAAGAATGTTCTAAATCTAACCTGTTGAAGCTTTAGCTCACTGGATATTGCACTTTTTGAGAAGATAGTGAAAAACTATGCACAAGTTTTCGTCGACAGCACCTTTTATTTCTAAACCTCAGTCCACTGACTGATCATTGGAAATCACCAACATTTCTTGATTTCTTTGAAATGACAGCAAGCCAGATGGAATATTTTCATGGGGTGTTTAGTACCAGTACTATGTTAAATTCAAGTACAGCCTTTCAGCAATAATTCAGTCCGTACTAGGATACTTTTGGGATAAATGCATATGATCCTATTTTCCTTCATATGAGCTTGAATCTTAGGCCATCAATATTTCTGAGACTTCTTAGATTTACACGTAATCAGCAAAAAACGTAGCGTTCAAAGTGACAATTTAACCTGTCCATGTACATGTACACACTGTACAATCCTTCCTTGTTTGAAGACGTGTACCGGTATCATTTACAAACTGCACTTACAATCCAATCAGAATGAAGCTAGATGTACATGTATTTAAGCACAAGACTGACAGACCATTACAACCAATTAAATTAATTTGTGTTGGCATGTTCAATTCAACTTGAGCAGGATGAAAATAAAGCTGGCCCCAGCAAGAGGAGCGAAGCGTGGACTCCAATTGACAGTGAGAAGACACTGGCAACAGGCATAGCTTAGTAAGAACCCTATTTTTTTAAATGTTGGATTATATTTGGGAATACATGTATGTACTTCATTTGCAATAATCACTTAATTCAGCAGATCACACTGAACATCGCTGAGCCACTGAGTATTCAAATTAAAATTTCAAAAACCCCAACTATAGGCCTACTCTCCTACAGACGTGTTTAACAAACCACATAGAAGATGCACATGTAGTATTATTTTTGGGGAAACATATCATGCTGACATAATCCCAACACAGACTCACAGAGTCACACAATGTTTTAAGATTGTTGGTTGGTTCTGAAACAAGAAGATAATGAAGTATACTGGTACTTTTCTATGAATCGTGTACAAATTAATGTCACAGACCATAAAACGTTTACTGTTATTTCTAGTAACAATGAACCTCGAAGCCATGAAGTAAGTCCAAACCAAACCCTCCCCTCCAACCCCTCTCTACATAGCTCATTAAGCCTAGCCCTTCCCTTCCTCCTGCCTTCTATTACCAGATCCCGTATGGTACATCCTGTGGAGAGAGACTGGCTCTAGCCCAGAGAGTTTGTCATTAGGAGCCTTGATGAGAGCTTTACCGCTCAGCTTGTCAGCGCCACTATGCATCTGTCTGCAATACCCATGGCTCAACCTTTATGCTGGCCACAGTCAAGCTACAGGGGCACATTACTAGGTCTTGCCAACTTCTTGTTCTGCTTTATGCATGTGCTGGCAGGTTGCCTGCTGTGACAGTGAATTCTGTCATTTTAATGTGATGCAATAATTTAGATTAACATACATGTACCTCTGATGAAAAATGTATAGCAAACTTGTGTTGTTCTTGACTGAAGCAGAATAACAGACCCCTAGACAATGTAAACAGTTAAAAGAGTCGTCAAAGCAGCTTTTTTTCTCAGTTGTGAGAGTGAATATATAATTATTCACACAGTATCATAGTATAGTCGTGTTCCCTAACGTGGCGCACTTCGAAGCTTACCTAACTTTCCTCGTGTAGTGTTGCCAAACCTCTTTGTTGATAAACCTCAAATTCATGCAGTGAAATGCTGGTACTTTTACCTTTTTAATGCTTGCTATTTAACCTCTGTGAACAATTTCGGTTTCATAAAATTTAATCCGAAATGCAAAAACGGTCGCGTCCGGAAATTGGGCACAAATTAGCGGAGTGTTCCCTAATGTGGCGCACTTGAATAAATCTCAGAAAATTCCAAATTAACATTTAAGAATTTCTGTAAACTTGATAAATTCTGATAAATCATTACTATCTTTACTTACAAACCCAGCCAGATGTTTGTCAGAAAATTATTTTCTTATTTTTCGGGGCATTTTCAAAGGGTTCACTTTGCACTTGAAAATAAAATCGGAAAATCACGCCAAAATAATTTTTTCTTTTAACTTTGTACCGGGTAAATAAACTCGCGATTTATGAACGGGAGTGTTTAGAACTTGATGAAATTTCACTTTCTGTGAAATTTCAGTTAAAACTTTTGCTCTAGCTAGGCGCTACAGGCGAAAAATAAAAGTGCGCCACGTTAGGGGCCGCGCCACGTTAGGGTGCATCAACAATATTATAGGATCAACTCATCAGTCACACAAATACAAAATGAAATGGTTCTTGCAACCTACTCTCCATGAGATACATGTACACTTGCACGAATTTAGTAAGGAACAAGCACATAATTGTGCTAGAAGCATTAACCGGTACATGTATAGAAATTCTACAAGATTGAGATGAAGCTCTGCTATTCACAACTCATTACAAAGCACTAAACAGTGATGGTATTTTGATGAATCTACAACAAAACACTACACGTATCTCACATCTGCAATGACAAATGCTATAATGCTAAGGTGATTGACAAGTTAGAGGAAAAAATGAATGCTAAAACTTATTAGGACTACATGTACAATGTACCATAGTTCATATCACATGTATTTTCTTTACAAAAAAGGGCAACATACATGTAT